ATTACGTATCCCAGCTTTTTCAGGTGGTCGTGAAAGCTTGAATGATGGATGTTCAATGTTTCTGCAATCTTTCGTGTTGTGTAACATGGGTTTGACTTGATCAATGCCTTTATTTTGTCGTCATCAACCTCAGTGGGCCTCCCTGACCAAGAAGCATCATTGAGATCAAAACCACCAGCACGGAATTTTGTGAACCATCGTTGGCACTGATGTTCTTGTAGAGCATTGTCACCGTAAACTTGATGCAACTTTTCACAAGCTTGACACACGTTCTTCCCTTTATGGAAGTAAAACAGTAAAATATTTCAAAAATGCACAGTTTGGTCTTCCATCTTCAACTTGTAAAATCTTCAAAACTCCACCAAATCGCTCAACTTTTTTTAGAATGAAGCTAGAACTGTCAACTGTCAAATGACAAAGAAATAACATAGATGCGAATGACTCTAGTACTTCCAAAAAGGAACTAGTGCCATCTGTCGCAAACATGCATCATGACTTTTCCGACAACCCAATAGTTTGATTCCATGTGGTTGGAAAACCTAGTCAATATAATTTAAATTATTTTAAATTGTGATATTGGTTTGTGTCCCAGGATATGGCCTATCTTGGTGTTTGTTACATGGGTACGTGGTGAGAACCTGTATTCTGTTCTTGTTAGATGGACTGTTTTATACATTTGATTAAATCCTTGTTAGTTAGATCATTGGATAATGAGATGGCATGTTTGAGTTTTTTAATAGCCTTGCAGGTTTTCTGTGAACTTGTTCTATTGATTTTTGAAAGAGAGGTATTTAAATTTCCAACTATAGTTATGGATTTATCTATTTATCTTGTCAGTTCTGACAGTCTTTGCCTCATGTATTTTTCAGCTTTGGTGCATACACATTACTGTGTCTTCTTGGTGGATTGACTCTTGTATCATTGTATAATGTTCCTTTTTGTCTCTGGCAATTTCCATTGCTCTGATGTCTACCTTATCTAATATTAATATAGCATAACTACTCAAATCAGATTTTTTCTAGTGGATATCTTCTAGGGAGAAATACTTTGAAGATTACTTTTAGTAGCTATTTCTATGTTTTTTTTCACATATTTTTTTGTTTTCTGTACTATTTATTTATATACAAGCATAATAATAATAATAATATGATTATAAAATTGAAACTAGAAGTGATTCAACTAGTTATGGTAGGCAAGAGTATTGAAAGGTATCAGTATTCTTTCCTAGTTAATTAAATGATTTCATCTACATTCTAAGGGGTTTTGTTTTGTTTTTTCTATGAACACTGTTACTACATTTTTTAAAAAACCAATGTTGTAAGCTATAGCATTTCCCACACTGAGGTATCATGGTTCCTCTGTGTGCAAAATGGTAGTTTTCAGGTTCTTAGCAGAAACTCGTGTCCTTTGAATTCTCATCTGTGACTCAGAATCTCAGAGCTGGAAGAGAGCCCAGAGGTTTTCTTATGACTAACTTATACATATATGAATGTAGTAACCCTATGACACACCATTCTCTACCCACTAAATATTATATAGTTTTGGAAAAAAATAGTAAGTTTATCTCTTCATGTAAAAATTCCAATGACTAAGATAACAGGCTATGCAGAATTCTCATGGCCATTGACACAAATTTTATAAAAACTTATAAATTAATGTTAGGATTTTTGTGTTTTCTTAATTCCTTTTATTAGTTCATATAGCTAAATTATATTCTTTTTGAGATTTAGCATAAAGAAAATGCAAACATATTGCCAATAATGTTTTGCTACATTGTTCTTGTCAAAGACTTCCTGAAAGATAAAAGGGTAACCACAATGAGATATCACCTTACATCTGTTAGGATGGAAATTATAAAAAATATAAGAAATAGCAAGTGCTGGCTAAGATGTGGATAAAAGGGAACCCTTATGCATTGTTGGTGAGAATGTAAGTTGGTGTAACTACTATGGGAAATAGTATGATGTTTCCTAAAAAAATTAAGAAATAGAACTACTACATGATCTAGTAACTCCATTTCTGGGTATTGATCTAAAGAAAATGAAAACACTAACTTAAAAAGAGATATATATATATATCCCCATGATCATTGTGGCACTATTTACAATAGTCAAGACATAGAAAGAGCCTAAATGTCTACCAATGGATGAATGAATAAAGGAAATGTAGTGTATATAGACAATGGAATATTATCCAGTCATAAAAAAGAATAAAATCTTGCCATTTGTGATAACGTGGGTGGAACTTGAGGGCATTATGCTAAGTGGAATAGGTCAGAGAAAGACAAATACTGTATGATCTCACTTATATGTGGAACCAAAAACAAATAAACAAAAAAGCCTAAACTTAGTTCATAGATACAGAAAACAGACTGATGATAGCCAGAAGTGGAGGGTAGGGAGTGGGAGAAATGGGTAAAGGTAGTCAAAAGCTACAAAATTCCAGTTATAAAATAAATAAGTCCTAGGGATGTAATGCACAGCATGGTGACTATAGTTCATAATATTTTGTTGCATAATTGAAAGTTACTAAAAGAGTAAATCATAAAAGTTCTCATCACAAGAAAATAAATTTTAATTATGTATGGTGATTGACGTTAACTAGACTTAACTGTGGTGGTCATTTCAATGTATCAATATATGCAACCACTGAATCATTACATTGTATGCCTAAAACTAATAAAATGTTACATGTCAATTATACCTCAATTTAAAAAGGGTAATTATGACTAATATAAAATTGTCACATCTTTATTTACAGAATAGGTTTCATTCAATATCAATATTCAACCACATAAGCAATCAATCATGCTGCCACTTAAATAAACTTAATTTAATTTACATAAATATTTCCAAGTTAAGCATCATAGGCCGGAAACAACTCCTCAGTGCTTACAGTTTGAATTATAAACTTCTTATCAGGCCTACAAGGCACTTTTTGACATGACCCCTTCCTTCTCGCTCATTCTATTATAGTCTTATAGAAATTTCTATAGACTTTACCAGGTCATGTTTCATGATTTCTCCATGACTTTAAGCAATTTGTTCAGTTAGTCCAGAAGGCTCCTTATATGCATGGAAATCTCAATTTAGGTCGTCTCCTCCATCAAGCCTTTCCTGGCCATTTCTTCCTCTGTAGATCTAAGCCATGTCCCTTTTGCCACTCTGTACCTACCCCATAAAGACTTTCTATCATAGTACCTACAAGTCAGTTTATTGCCCATATGTAATTACATGGCTATGAGTTTCCTGAAGGCAGAGTTGTGACCTGTCTCCTTTTCCTGTTCTTTCTTTCTTTCTTCCTTCCTTCCTTCCTTCCTTCCTTCCTTCCTTCCTTCCTTCCTTCCTTTCTTTCTTTCTTTCTTTCTTTCTTNCTTTCTTTCTTTCTTTCTTTCTTTCTTTCTTTCTTTCTTTCTTTCTTTCTTTCATGTTCCAGAGCTGAAGGTTCTGAAGGTTACATAGCATTAAGTAGATTAACATTGGGTTTTGATCTACATTATATAGCAATAGGTTGAGAAAAGGTCTTTCATCCTCTCTCCCAACATCTCCTTTTTTAATTAGGTATAGTTGGCATACAATATTATACTAGTTTAAGGTGTACAACAGAGTGATTCAACATGTTTATACCTTAACAATGTGTTCATCACACAATCCCTCTCCCAATGTCTCAGCAGGACATAGAAAAGCTATTGAGCCCTGAATCACTTTACAATTTGAGGCACTCGGATTACTGAAAAATGAAGAAATAGAGTTCACAAAAATACCTTTTTTTTTTTTGTTTTCAATTCAGCCATTTAATTTCTGTGACTATGCATTGGCAGTAGGTCTGACTTTCTTTGGGAATCATTTCAAAAGCCTTAATTAGAAGCCTTTGTCCCACAGTTCTCTCTCCACCCCAGGGCTTTGCTGATTGGCCCATCTCCTCAAGTCAGTTTGGTACCAGTCAAATGTTACTGGGAATGATGTACCTCGACTCTTCATCTTCTTGAAGGAAAGAAATCGGTCAAGAAACTCTGTGTGTGTGTGTGTGTGTGTGTGTGTGTGTGTGTGTGCAGCAATAGGACAGCAAGAAGTTTATTAGTAAAACCGAGTACACTCAGAGACATGGAGGGTCCATTGAGTGAGGGCTTTTATCTCTGTGGGTAGAACTGCCTCCCCCTCTCCCTTCTCTTGTCTCTTTCTTCCCCCCGAAGTGCCTCGTCCTCCCTTCTCTGGCTTTTAACAATGCATTTCTTTGATTTAGAAGGATGTGTAAGCCTGGAATTCTGCTGGGCAGCTGCAATGGGTCTTGACGCAAGCAGGAGCTACAGCAAGGGACTTTGTAACCAGGCTCTCTCTCCTTCTCCTCTTATTTCTATCTCTCTACCTGCCCTATCCATAAGCTTCACAAAACATGGTTTTAAAAGAATGCTGGTCTTTGTAATAGGCTTTGCCATCAGTAGGACAACTCTTGAATTCTACTTGCCTCCTCCTAAAATGCTCACATTAGGGAAATTGTGTAGACATATAGTTAGTTACTCTATATCAGAAGGGAGAAAAAAAAAAGACCATGATGAATATTCTTTCTCACTTCAATACAGAAATAAAACATTTTATTTGAGTATCCCATCTCTAACCCTTAAGTTGAGGAACCAGACTCATTATTTTATTATTTCATTTATTCAAATGTAACACATATTTTACCAAAATTTATTATTAAAACATTTCAGGGTTATTATTGAACCTGACACAATGCTCTTTTACAATTATTTAAGTATTTTAGTAAAGTTACCTATCCAAAAGCAAAGATTTTTATTTCTTGCATCTATTTTTCTTTTACTTTAACAACTGATTTTTAGGCAAGCCCCTAATGTTTTGTATTATATTTTAAAATTTGATAATAGTATTATTAAGGATTATGCTATCTTTACTCCAGCTAATAATTTTTATTATATTACACTGAGATTAATTTCTATGTAAATAATTGAACTAATAAAAAGTTTTCTTTCTGTTTGAAAACAGAATGACATTGAAGAATTTGATGATATACTCACATCCATATTCAAACAAGAGATACCATGTTATGAGTTCCGATCTCTCCAAACTGAAATCTACCCTCAAAAAGAATGTGAGTATTTACCAACTGCATCAATTATTCTTTGTCATATTTCATTGTATGTAAGCCTTTAATAAGTATTATAGCCAAGAATATAGTTGAATTGCTGATTAGATATTTTAGACAATTTCCATCCTTTTGTGGGAGACCACACTAGTGCAAACTTCTAAAGGTTCATTTGGTAATTTTTTTTTTTAATCACGGGAAAATGTGCATAAAATTTTAAATCAGCAAACTTCCTGATTTTTATTCTAAGTAAATGTTTAGCCAAGTACATTTATGATGGAGATAGTTCATCATGGCATTTTTTGTTGTTGTTGTGGTGGTGGTGGGTTTTTTGTTTTTGTTTTTGTTTTTTGGTTTTTTTTAAATTTAGGATACTGTTTCCATGGAGGAAGCAGGGAGTGGATAGTGATGAGGAGAAATACAGAGAGAGCATCTAATTTTTGTCTGGGTGTGTTCACTTTCTTCAAGCTTATTATTTGTACACTACACAATGCTATTTTTTTTAAAAAAATCATGGCATTGTTTATAATTACCAAAAATGGAAATAACTTAATTTTCCCAAGATCGGAAATGAACTAAATAAAATTTGTTGCATCCATTAAAGCAACCATAAGAAATAAATTTTATTTTAAATTGATTAGCTGGCTGGACTGATGCTTCGATATATGCTTAATTTAATAAAAACAGGGTATGTAGCAGCAGATAAAGTGTGATGGTCTTTAAAAAAGTACATATGTTTAATTGCATATATTTTTTTAATCTATAAATTGATGGTCTGGTCAGACATGTACCTGTTAACAGTAGTTATGTTTGGGGTTATGAAATTTCAGGGATTACATTTTTTTTTTTTACTTAATCTGTGTTTTCTACACTGCCTGTGTATTATTAGTATAATAAAAAGATAAATATATAGAAGTATCAAGGAAAGTATATATAGGACAGGCTGCCAAAAAACAAAAAGCAAATATTTCTAAATGTTATCCTGAACTCAGGAGAATGTATTTGAAATTGTTTGGTCCTGCATAGTTTGTGACATACTGTTTATAATTCACCTATATGTACATACCGTAAAACAGGAATAGAGTTAAAGAATATGAGAGGTCTGCTGTAGGTATATGAAGGACAATGAGCAGAGGTTTCTGTCTGTTTAGTCTCTATGCAACTTGAAAGAGTTTTATCGTCAGGCTGGCAGGCCTCAGGGCAGCAGGAAGGAACGAACGGAAGTCCTAAGACACAGCCATTTGCCATTCACCCAGATGTGCAAGAACCTGTATTATGCATGGTGAGCTTCCATTATAGGGGAAGGACAATGATATGCTACTTTTGTATAAGCAATCTTGTGAGATGAGTGAAACTTATTTTTGTTTCCCATATATTTTGACAAGATATAATTCACTTACAAAGTTTGACATTATATTAAGATAGAAAAGGAACATGACGTGATTCTTCACTGAAGACACATACTCTAATTGGGGACACGAGATAATACGTATATTGTAATAGAAAGAAACAATGTGCTAAACTTTGTGGAATTGATTATATTGACAATAGAATTTTAGAGAAAAGATACTTTATTTTTCAAGACCTGTTTCATAAAAGAGTGGGATTTTACTTAGGTCTTACATGCTGAGCAGGGTTCTAATGAGGAAGAAAAAAGGAAACAGGGATTCTAGGCAGGAGGAAGTGCCTGCAAAGGTATGAATATGGAACTATAACACAATTTTTACAAATTCCCTTAGAATTTTATTCATTTAGGTTTGTGGAATAAGAGTTGTAGGGTTGGAGAAGATAGAATGAATTTAGTCTTTCATTTTTATAGGGTAAAGAAAACCAGATAAATTTAAAAGTGCTTCTCAGTGTATTGAAGTTATGGAATAAGAATTTTAGAGTTGGAAAGGATGGATTAGCTTGACCTCTTATTTTTATGGAATAAGAACTCTGAATGGATTAAATCAGAGCCCCTGAAAATGTGGATCTGATTCAGTAGGTCTGGGGTACAGTCTAAGCCTGAGGTTTTCCAACAAGCTCCCAGGTAAAGAGGATGCCACCAGTCCTGGGACCTCTCACTGAGCATCAAGGGTGTAGACCATGGTTCTCAGCCTTGGCTGCATAGTATGATCAGCTGTGGACCTTTAAAACATCTCATGCCTAAGCCACCCCATATACCAACTAGTGAGTCTGTGGGATGGGCCCCAGCTATCAGTACTTTTGAAAGTTTCTCGGTGATTCCAATTGGCAGCCAAGTTTACCAGCCCCTAACTGCTTCGATGGATTACAGACCAGCCAAATAGTTCAACCTCACACTGATCTTTGACATAGAGGAAATATTACTCTGTCTTTACATAAGTTAGAAAGTTTGTAGCATATGAAATTTTGAACCATTACTAGAATCTAATGATATTCTGTATCTGACAAAGATTTTTTTTAATAAAACAATTACATTTTTTAACAGAAGTTAAAAATGGAAAGTTCAACATACTCTAAGTAATTCATTCAGAAACTTAATTTGGATATTGCTAGATGACAGATGCTATTAAATCTATAACAACCCTCAAAACATTAGGCTCTAATTCCTAGTTGAAGTACAAAATAACATAATATAAATTACATAATAAAAATATGTGAGATAGACATGAATATGACTGAACTCATGTTTTGCTTGCCTCCTTGACCCTGTAATCTTGGGTCAATGTTGTCTTCAGATTATCTGGTCTTTAAGGCTTTGCAGCTGCATTTTCATAATTTTCAAGTGGAATCGATGATAAGGTTTGAGATGCCTTGATACATAAAGTGAAATTAATTGAGGGAGAAGGGGTTTGGGAAAGAAATGGTAGGTTGTTGAGTATTTTCTGTAAAAACACCACTAGAGGTAGTCTGAGAGGTAAATCCAGCAAACAAAAATGAGGGGTAATTCCAGATGTCCATCCCTGAGGACAGTTCTCCAGTTATTTGGTGAAATGTTTTGTTTCCTAATCCTTTATTATTTAGTACACCATATCTTAGTGGAAAAAAAATCACAGGTTCGGTGATTATAAGGGGAAGGTAGTCATAGGGAATTGACAGAATATACCTTGAACATTGACCTATCCTAAGGATGAGCCATGGAATTATTCACAGAAGCCAACGGTTCTTTAAAATTTTTGGAGCTAAATGCTCTGTCAGTCAAAACTGTTTATCTTACTATTGCCCCATTCTCTTTTCTTTTCTATGTTGTCTTTGGTAAATTCTAAGGTTAGCTCCTTGTTACTTATTTATAATAAGTAAAATGCTACTCCATGCCTCTATGTCTTGGTCATTTTCACTCCTGTCTAGCCAACAAACATTCTAATTTGACTTTTTCCTTCCTAGGCAGGCAGAGTTGGGGCAGAGGAGTTGCAGTGATAAGATAGAAAGTGTACAGGAAATCAAATCTGCTTTAGAGTTCTCTTCCCTTGTAATGCTTCATTATTGATTTTTAAATAACATTTTCCATTGATAAGAATTTCCCAGAGAATAAAAGTTCTCCCTGGGAGTGGAATAATAAAAGGTTTTCAAATAAACTTGATACATTAATGTAATGTAGGATTTTTGAATACAACAGTCATAGAAATAACTCATGAACAACTTTCTAGTGTGTGAATCATCAGGGACTGAAATCAATATAAGGGATTGTAACAGACAATTTCTTTCTTTTTTTTTTCTTTTTTTTTTTTTTTTATGGTAGATAAGATACTAGAATAGAAAATATCTGAGTATATTCCTTAAAGTAAAAGTAAGTATAACTTTGAGCAATTTCCATTTTATTAGTAGATT